ACTTCCTCCTTTTTTAATATTTTTGGAAAGCCTCTTTGTTAGATGCTTTTGTTTCTAAAGTGAGTGTTGTCTGTGCTGTATGATTTTTACTAATCTAATACATCATAAAAATAATGCCTTATTGTCCTAGGAGATTTTTAGAACTTTCTACGGTATGGACCTAGTGTTCTTTGTCTGTGATTAATTATTGTATATCAAATGAGATCCTATTCAATTGTTTGTTAGGCATTTCTGTTGAGTAAGTGTTAACTAAAACCAAATGAAATTTCCAGAAAAAAATTTCCAGATTTCCATTTCTTTATTGTCTCAGTGTCAGAGTTGCATAGCTTTATTGATTGCTGGTAGTCTTCTAGTGAAAGCTGTGCAGATATCGTGACCCCTTCATTCTCTGATCAAGTTTGGTTTGTTGGTTTTTTTTTTCACACTAACTACCTGCCTTGTTAGTGTAATGGGAAATTCAGGCTGTTTATTCTAAAAATGCAGATTTATTTGCCTTTTGTAGGCAGTCAGATAGACTTGGGTCTGGAAGATGAAGTAGGCAATTTCTTTAAATCTTTCCTAGCTCTTTTAAGTCAGTGCCCAAGCTATTAAGCTCAGTTGCAAATTAATTTAAGTGAGCACTGCTGACCTTGTATTTTTACCTGCCTACTCTGAAATTATGCCCATTTTGAATCATTAGTCTTTCTAAATGGTATGAGAACAGTCGTTGTGTTGCAGAAAGTTTATGCTCCCTGTTCCCTCTGTAGGGTAGAAGCCTGAAAGGTCTCTGCAGCCAGCTCACAGTGCCCATTAAGAAGCAGTTCCTCTGACTCTCAGGGGACTCAGTGGAAAAGGCCCCGTGCCATCCGCTGTGCACAGTAACAGACTGAAAACTTTTACTGGAAAACTCTGTATTTGGACAGACTTAGAAAATAACTTATCAGCTGTTGCTCAGAGAACATTTTGAGGAGCTATAAAAGGATGCCTCTATATAAATTCACAAGAAATATTTGGAACTAATTAGCTTGAAAAACATTATCTGGCATCTGAATGAAATTACAGATGTGTAACTCTTTCCTCAGGAACCTGAGTATTTTTCAGATAAGCTGTTTGTTTCTCCTGCCCTCCCTTTTCTCTCTCCCTTTTCCTTCCCCTATCAACTTTTGTAGTGAAGCACAACATATTTGTTAAGTCTGGTACTGAAAAACAAACATCATCTGCAGTAACACCTTATCCAATCACAGGAAATGATATTGAAAGGCTGATTTAATTGCAAAACCTGACACAGGTGAAACTGAGGGATTTAATTTTTTTATTTTTTTTTTTTTAAACTTATGTGGCTTTCAGCTCCCTTCTGCTCTCAGAACCATTAGGACAAGCTGAGTGTTAGTTTTATTCAGAGAAATCCCTTTTAAAACTGAACAAAACCACTTGAAATCTTCCAAAGTAGTTGGAAAAGGACATAATTTGACAAATGGTGTTCTTAATTCTGTCTTCCATGGCAGCTCTTGATGTGAAGGCTGGGAAATACCTGAGAGCTGGGAGAAGAACAGATGTGACTTTCAGCCTCCAACTTCTTCAGGAGGTGATGGGTTTGAAATCAGAGTGGTAGAGGGGCTGGCAGCTTGTGTGGGTACCCAGTCTGCCTTGCTGGGATGTGCAGGTGGATGCGAGAGAAGGGGGAGTGGAGGCTGAGGGGGGTGCCTCAAGGGGACGGAGTTTTGTTTAAGATGCAGTAAACCCTCCAGCTGTGCTCTTCACAGCCCAATCTCTGCTGCTCTGTAACACTACATGTTAGTAACGAATTGCCTTGTTTGTATACAGGACTTTGTATTTAGTTTACTAAGAGGATGTACATAATGTCAAAAAAGCATAGTAAATTTGAGGCTGCTGTTATGGTTTGAAATGCTGTTAAAGGCTTGTTTTGGTTCCTTGGGATATTATAGTTGAGGTTTTTCAAGAGTGAGTGAGGTGGAGGGTTTGGGATGATTTTGGCCCGGGTTTAGAGACCTCTAGAAGCAGCATCTTATGAGCAGAGATCATAACCCCAGTAGAGCTGCAGTAACTCTGAGTCCTGTGATAAACATCATGGATACTCGGTCCTCATCTGGTATTTTTTCTAGTGCTGAGGTTGCTGCTTTGAGAGTTGGATGGTCATTGCCTTGAAATGGAGCAGTGGGCAGGAGGAGGAGGTTTGGCACTATCTGAAAATCTGATGCCTACCATGAGGATGGAATAGAAATTATGGAGTACAGAGATTCTTGATCACCTGAAAAGTACCTGTGGCATTGCCCATCCACAGCAGCAGCTGTGTGCTGGTAGAAGCCCCATCCCTGGAAACATTCAAGGTCAGGTTGGATGGGGCTTTGAGCAGCCTGATCCAGTTGAAGATGTCCCTGCTTACTGCAGGGGGGTTGGACTAGATGACCTTTAAAGGTCCCTTCCAACCCAAACTGTTCTGTAATTCTGTGCTGTAGGTTTTGTGATGAACTGTTGGTGGGCTGTGGTACATGGGAAACAGGCAAGATGAAATGCTATGGGGAAAACCGTCAGTCAGTTATGTTGCTGTCAGTCAGTTCAGGTGCTTGTTTCTGCTTTCGTCTTTTCTGTCACTCATGGACCAGTTTTGTTTTAGCTCTTTATTCTTAAAGTTTCCTGGGGCAACTTTGAAAACTCTAGTTCAAATGAGTAAGTTTTAAGGAAAATACTGACGGAAGCTGTTAGTATTGTCACGAGGACTGTTGACCTCTAGAGAGGTTTTTCTCTTTATTTGTTTTTTCCACATCCAAAGAAGGCTTCTATGTTTCCATTGGCAACCTTTTTTTTTTCTTGTTTTGAGATACTACATTTATACTACAGAAAGCTTACTTAACAGAGTTTGTGATTAAAACAAATAGACTATGAATCTGAGGACAGAAGTCTCTGATGCAGTGTGAGTAGAAATGGGGCTGGCAGTGGGGTGCTTGCCAGTTCTCATCTGCTGAAGCAGATGATTTGGGTACCCTGTGATACCCTCATGTACAGGAAGGTTGTTGAGTCACTAGAGTAAAAAGTCAGGGATGTGACTCATTTACAAGTTTGGAATCAAGTGCAACCATGGTAAGGCTGTGCCATGTCAGTGTAGAGCGCTGCTTTGCGAAGATTTCTGCCAGGGCTAAATATAGACATTGTGTATGCAACGTGACTGTAATGTTTTGTGGTTGCTACAGCAGCCTTTGATCAGGACTATGGCTCATTAGTCAAAAATAAGCTTCCTTTGCATATGCAAATTTTCATTAGTCTAAACAAAACACTCAATTTGTTATATAGATGTATTCACTTTTATAAATCCCTGTAGATTGTTTTCATATGTAGTCAGGACCTGATCTGTGAAGTTTCACACACACTAAATCTCTTTTGCTGTGCAGAGCAACTACTACTTGTCTTGCAAATGGGTGGGTTTGAATGAATGGGAAACCACAGCATTGTCACCGAGTTAGCTGCAGAATGTAAATCGCCTCCTATCATATTTTGGGAAGCATTTAAGAAATAGGTATACATGTGTGTGTGATAGACACAGCTTTTGCAAGACAATCTTTTGAAATGCATCACTGAGAAGTGTTGGTCCTATGTGGTTTGAGAAACTGACCCCTCTCGGAGGTCTCAAGCTGGATATTCTAAACTTGGGAACTGGTTTTAATGTTTTCTTTCAAAAAAACCCCCAAAAAACAACAAAAAACAAACAAGCCTGAAATGTCTTACTATAGTTCTGAAATACTCTCTATATTAATTCTTATATTGTAGCCTGCAAAGATATATTAATAGTATATAAATATAAAAGGTGGAAGGAAAAATCTCTGAAATGCCTGCATTACTTTAATAACTTAATGTATTAAGTTTTCCCTTACATAAACTACTGCTGTGAGATCATATAACCTTTTCCCATTTGTGGTGACTCATTGATTGTCTGTATTTTCTATGCGTAATTCTTCTTGTGCACGTAACAGTTTTTAGCATCAAGGAGATTAATAAACTACTCCCTCCCTTAGGTACCTTGTATCCAAGAAGTTAATGTACTAGAGAGGAGGATCATTAGATAGATTAGTTGGTCGTTTTTTGTGGTCTGTGTCAGTGATTCTTAACTGAGGACTATTTTAGTGTCACTGGCTCTCAGCCAGATTACAGATAAAATCGGCCTTTGCTCTCACTAAGCAAAGCCAGTGCTAAAGATGGTGATTTAGCAGAAGATTCCATGTTAAGATTCCTGAAACATCTTTCTCACTTGAGCTGTGCTTCAAGAGGTCTTCGAAAAAGAAAATACTCTTGTTGCTATAGTGACAAGTCCCAAGATTTATAGGCAGCTGTTAAGATTTCTCTCAGAGGAGCTGCAGCAGCTGGGAAATGTTCCTGCACAAGCAATTTGCGGCCACGTCGGTCGCGTTGCGGAAGGAGCTGTTGGGTGACACTTGCAGTACCGGGTGGTGTGGGTTGTGCAAGAACAGATGTCGAGTAGCATGGGTGGCCTCTGGGAGATAACCCTGGACAAAATGGAAATAAGTAACAAGTTTGTATCAAAACAAGTAGCTTTATAAAGCAAGAGCAGTTGACTGTGAAGTTATGGTAGCTGTTGTATTATAATACATTATGATCTGAGGGTTTATTTTATCCTAAGCTTCATCTTGAAAATGGGATTCAGTGTCTTGTTCCTACATTTAGATGTATGGTGGTTTAAAAACAAAACAACTTTTTGATGGTTTCTGTTTCTTTTTCCCTATTCTTCCTCCCCAGTAAACAACAGTCAATACTTTATTACCTTTTTTGTTATTATTGAGATGTCCTTGAGATGATGATATGACGATTGATGAGTGTTCTATAGGATAATCTCAGCTAACATGTTGCTGATGCAAAGTGTATGGTTTTTACTCAGTTGTAAGGAATTCTGATATTAAATTAATTTTTAAAAGATCAGGTTATCAAGTGAGTTAACTTTTCTGTAGAGGTTCACTGTATCTTAATGTTGTGGGTTTTTCCTTTATGCACAGTTTGAAAAAGAAAAGGCAAGCCAAACAAAACACCGAGACTGTCCCTGCCAATTCCCTCGGATCTCCTGTTTCTAAAACATCTTCGGAGAAAGATGATGAAAGTAAAGTTATTTTGGAGCAAATCAGTTCCTCTGAAGACAACTGTAAATTTGCTGGGGAAAAGGAAACTGTTCCAGACAAAGAAAAGAAAAAGAAAAAATACAATCAACTGAAAGACATCAGACGCACAGAACTTAAAAGATACTATAGTACTGGTGAGTTATGTTAATGCTATAGTATTTTGAAATATGTTTGCTTTGATAGCTTGTTAGTATGCTTTTCTCATACTCTCTAGGCCTTCCTTGAAAGGATAATTGACTTTGGATATCCTTCCCACAAAAAACAAACAAAATTTTGTAGTTCTGCATATTGTCTGCTTCTGAATTTAACATTGCAGTTCTTAAACCATATATATTTCTTGTTTCTCAGTTCTAAAACTCACTGTTGTTATGGGCAACAGTGAAATTTATTACTGCATTTTATTTTAATTTTTTTAAGATTTGTCCTCAGTGTTTTATGGCATTGGGATTGTTGTTTGGTGGGGTTGTTTGTTTCATAAATTAATGTTATACTGTTTAAGACTTCATTCTTAATTCATAGTCATTTTGTCTGCTGAGGTGTGAACAAACAAGTAAATTAATTACATATTTTTAAATAAGATGTCAAAGAGTTTGTGCACTGGAAAGCTTGTTTCCCACCCCCCAACTGTATCAATTACCTCAGTTAATCGTAAATATCTTTTTTAGATTTATTCTTGCAAGTAATTTGGAAAAAAAAATCAGTTTGTGCCTAAATATATGTGAAGTGAGTCATAATACACAGCTGTTTGCAGTTCTGGATTGTAATTTTTTAGACACTCTTAAGTAACTTTAGATATGATTTATGAAATATTTCTGCTTCCAGATTTTCTCTTGGTATTTTGTAGGAATGATCTTTTAGATTAAGAGAACTCTGATTCCATCTTGGAAGGAATCCTTTTTTAAAGAGAAAGCAGGCAACAGAAAATGGTAGTTATCCTAGAGACAGACTACTTTCCTGCTCCCGCAGTGAAGAAGGAAATACATCAGCAGTAAAAATGTTGTTATGTGTTGACTGGCTCATGCAGACTAGTCCACACCTGGAGATTGTCTTTTATGAGGCAACACGAGCCTTGCCAAAAAGAATATAAATCTTAGAGTAATGTTTCCTGGCAAGCTCAAGAGTTTACAGTGATTTATTGATCAGTCTGTAATTTGACAGATTTAAATCTGCTGAGATCAATAATCTGAGAACTATAAGAAAACTTGCTTCTCTTTGTCTGAAGCTCTGACCACACTGTTCTTGAAATAAAATCTGTAGAAGGAAAACTGCAGAATTGTTAATGAACCCGTGAATTTTTTCTGGTGTTTTAGTATGCTAGTTTAAAACAAACAAACACACCAAAATATAAACTCCTTTTCCATTCCTAGTAAAGTGCTTCTGCTAAAAGCAGCGATTTATCGTTGGTTTGTACCTAAAGGAATTTGGGGGGGTTTTTGAGGTCGCTGAATTTTGTTTCTCTAGTGTTTCATTAGTTTTGTGAAAAATGCTGCAACAGTTGGCATTTGTTGGGGGAGAGATGAGGGACAAGGGGGTGAGGGCATCTCTCTCTCTCACTGAAGAGTGCTGCAGGGCTGGCAAAGGAGAATGTAAAGCTCTTCAGGTTGTCTTTGGCTTGTCATCCAACAGCCAATACAAACTCAGGTTTTACTAATATTTGCTTCATAAGCATTTCCATGTTTCATGTGGATTGGCATCATTGCAGGGGTGACTTGAAGTGCTGCTGGCCATCATGTGGGTGTGCAAAGCCTCCAGGTTCTGCAGAAATACAGAATTTCTGTTGAGAAATACAAGAACTTAATGCTGCTGTTGAGCTGAGCAAAGACCCAACTAAAAAAATCCCTGGAGAGAGAAACCCCTTTGTTATTTAAATGCCTGCTTTTGGTTATTCCTAAATAAAGATTTTTACCCAACTGAAGGATCAAAATTGTGGAAGTGAAAGTTTGAAGAGAGATGGAAAATAGCTGTTTGTGAAACAAGTGCAATATCTCCATGTTCCCTATGCAGCTCTCAAAATAAAGTCATTCCAGTGGAATCATTAATTGCCTTATTATTAGTCTGCTTATGTTACACCTGCCTTGGTCCTGTGCAGCTATAGCTGGCAGTGGTTACCTGCTTGGCTGTGAGTTCCTGCTGCTCTCCTGAAAGCTGCCACCTTCACTAACATCCCGAGCAGTTTCCCAGAGCTCTCCCTCCACCCGTACATAGCAGCCTGTGTGAACTGGACTGGTTAAAACAGTGAGCTTTCACTGGCATGTGGCAGAGGACAAAACCGTGCCTCTGGCTGAGCTGAGTTCTGCTGGCAGGTGTGCATTCAGCAGTTCCCTGCTGGCAGGTGTGTTAGCTGCAGTGGTGGGAAGGTACTGCCAAATCTGTAGAGACTTTATTTTTTCATTGTTGATCTGCTTTCTTATGAAACTGGCTGAGAGGGATTACCCATATGTACACATCTGTCTTCATTATTTAACATTATGGATGGATATCTCTTTTTTTTTTTCTTCCACATGTTTTTTTTTTCACTCTGAGTTGTCCCTTTATTGATATTTCTGAAGTGCTCTGACTAAAATAGTTTCTCTCTCTTATCTATGGTTCACCTTTTTTCTGAGTGTGTTTGCACAAGGGCTTGCAAGTTTTGTTTGGGTTTTTTTTCCCCAAATTCCCAGCGTTGGCTTAATGTCTAATTCCTGTATCAGATTTTCTTAAAAGTTCTAGTAATTCTTTTTCCAAGTGCTTTCTACACTTTGACAAAATGCTTAGTTTTCCTAGTCAAAAGAATGCATTAGATGTAGCCATAATCTTGCAGATTCTCTCATCTGTGTGCTGGTATGATGATGCATGCAAACTTTATTTTGTAGCTTAGTGGAGGTCCTGTCATAAACTGCTTTGAGCCTAGAAGGGTCGTGTCTGTCAGTCTAACAGCGTGAAGACCTCTGTCCTCTGAATAATCTCCCTTTCATATTTCAGAGGACCATAAATTGTTCTTTGTTTCTTGTTCTAGGAGAAACGAGGAAGGAACATCACATCTCACTATAATTTGTCCCTCACACACCACGTCCCTTTGTTAGAAGCCTGTAAATGTATTTGCCTTATGAATTCATAAATGCTGACAGTGACATCCTTACTCTTTCACTTTGAATGTCATTCCTTTTAATAGATATATGCAAGGGCTGATACTCTGTCAGAAGGATTTTGTTGACTCAGTAAATCCCTCTTCTTTGGTAGAAAGTGTGTCATGCAGTTTCTGAGGGCTGCAGAGAACTGGAGGTGGTGGTGCTCCCTGTCACGCTTTGTAGAAAAGAGAGTGATTAAAAGACTTCTCTTATTCTTTGAAGAAGATGAAAGTGCAGCAGTGGAGCGAGGAGCTCCTCACCTGGTGTCCACCAAGTGCCGCGCTGCCTGCAGATGGTGGAGGGCATCACCGATCTGAGGAGGGGTTGTGGCTCGGGCATCCTCCAGCATCCCTCTGCCCAGTCAAGGTTGTTCTGTACAGGAAAGCTGCTAGTGCTGTAGTGGCACCGTTACAAATAGCCTCATGGTATGAGGTGTTGATCATTTCTCTTGAGGCACTGCTAAACAGCTGAACAGATCCCACTGCCAGAAGGTTTCTCCTGTATAACCTCATATTTTCCTTTTCTGTTAGCACTTGTGTTGTTCTTCAATGGCTCTGTAATTCTGGAATGTATTTGTACCATTCAATCTCCAGATCTCTAAGGCAAGGGCAGTTATCGCCCTTGTTTTCTTGTCTTAAAACAACAGAGGCTTCAATACTGCTTGTTTTTCTTCCTAAGGACCAATGGAAATAACACTCTTTTCTCCTTATTTTTGCCTCATCTCTTGGCTTATGTGGGAATCAGCTTTTTAACTTTGTCTTTTTACCTCTTCTGCTGTTGTTGCTGCACTAATCTTCTTTCAGACTCCCAAGGTTGTGTCTGTCTGGCATGTTGCAATGGTTATGTAGGCAGCCTGGCAGCTGTATCTAGAGAACAGGATGCTGTCCCCTTCTTCTTGGGATAACCTAGCTAACCTACTTCTGCAGCTTGGCTACTTTGTTCAGACACACTTTCTGTGGGAAGCCTGTTGTTGTTGGAAGATGTTGACTTACTAAGCTTCATTTTTTTTTTTTCTCCCTCTTTTTTTCCTGATTGTTTTGGGGTTTTTTTGTTTGTTTGCTTTGGTTTTTTTTTTCCCATATGTCACAGGCTCTAAACGCTTTCACAAACACGAGGTGAGTTGCAGAAACCCAGCAGTGGAAGTGTAACAGCCTGGAAGCACCAGTTTATTTGCTCTAGGGCAGGATGCACATCTCTGGGACAGACTTTTTAGACAGAGTCTGGGACAGTGAAACAGGAAAAAAGGTGGCCTTCTGAAAGCAAGCAGAGTAACAGTGCTGCAAGTTAGGGTTGAGCACAGCCCTCTGAATTTTGTCCATATGTTTATTCCAGCATGATATAATGCTTCTTTCTACCAGATGTGCAGAATGTTCCAAGATTGCACTGATTTTGCTTGAAATCACAAGCAGTCAGCATGTGTGAGGAATTGGTCTCCATTAAAAAATGCATCATAAAGAAAAGTTTGGGTTAGGTGACTTGTCCTACATCGCACAGTTACTTTTGTCAGCAAAATAAAATCCTGGTAACTAGCTTATCATTCTGCTCTCTAATCATAAAGCTATCCTTTCTCATTCACTATACAATGTTCAATTTCTGCAGTGAGTGGGAGGTGAGACTAACAAAACCTCCTCTTACTGTAGCTCTGATTTCTGTCCAAAACAAGCAGGAGTCCTAAACACTGTGGTGAGAGTCCTGAGAGGGAAGAATGGTATGTATGTATTTAATGAGGCCGTTTATTGTATGTTGGCCAGGAGTTGCCAGAGTATCTCCCCTGAGTCAGAAAACAGATGCCTTTTTGACTTGTCCTCCCTGCAGTTACTCAGCCAGGGGACCATACAAGAGCAGCACGGCACACATGCAGTTACCAAGCCTCTGGATGTTCTGGGTAGCTGGCCAAGAACAAATGTTAGTAAATAAAACAGAGAGGGCACAGTGATTTTCATCACTCGTAATATGGTAAGATTTTCCCTGACTAGCAGAGAATCGTCAGAGGCAGCTCCCATGATACCACCAGTACTTACTCTGTC